ACAAAAACACTAAACTTGATTGATTGATTGTACTCCGTGTGAGTTGAAGAAAGCGAAAAATCAACGCTTCTTTTCAAACACTCTCTACATTTTGTGTCATTGGGTGTGTATTTGGAAACTTAGGAGGAGAAGGTAAGTTTGTTTGTTTGGTGCCAGGGATTAGGAAAAGGGAGGGGAATAATAGCAATAAAATAAAACCACCATCAAGAGAAGGAGAAAGAGGGATTAGAAGGCAGACACAAGGCGGCGGCGAAGGGGAATTAAAAAGAAGTAGAAGAAGAGCAGCTGTGCTGGCTGGTGTATAAAACGAGGAAACACGGATGGAAGACGAGACGAACACATTCACGCACACACACAGGCAAGAGCAAAGTCCTATTGCAGTACGACGCCGACCTAGAGGCGGGGAATAAATGAAAATTTGGGTAAGTTGAAGGTAAGTAAAACATGTGTTTGCGTTTCGCACTGACCTGTTTGGGCTCAAAGGTGGCGCACTTCCAGTTGAAGAGGTAGTAGTGGAGGGAGCCGTCGCCGGAGCCGAACTTGAGCTCCTTCAGGAACTGCTCGTTCTCCATCTGATTGAGGGCGTTGAAGACGTCCATGCCCGTCTGTGCAAAAGGTATCGAGGTTAATCATAAGAGGTTTTTTCCAAAAACGGTCCTCTCCCCACTTACATTCTTGGCGACGACCAGGGCGTCGGCCATCAGGTCGACCAGCGACACCGAGTGCTCTTCACCGGTGACATTGTAGAAGCTGTAGGCGGCCTTCACCTCCTTGTGCGTCGCGTGGTTCATCACCGTCGAGGGGAGGATGTAGAAGCTGAAGAAGGCGATGATGTCCTTCTTCTTCGTCGAGGTGTTCGGTTTCTGTGGAAAGAAGGAAGGTATAAGAGTTAGAGTGTCTTTTCTTCAACAAAAGCTAATCTACGGTAGGCACGACCATTTCATCGCGAGCCTTTTCATCGCAACTTTATCGTTAGTTAATGGCATGCGATGAAAAGGCTCGCGATGAAATGATCTAGAATCGACCCGCTCTTACCTCCAAAACGTAGCTCTCGACGACGCCCTCCCGCGGCAGGATCCAGTGGGCAAACTCCTCCGGCTCAAAGACCGGCACCAGGTCAAACTTGGCCATGTGGGCGGTGAAGAGGCCGTACATCGCCTTCAGGTCGCCCTTGACCGCCCGCCGCAGCGACTGCCCGCCCACGCCGCAGGTTTTGTTGGGCGCCTCCGGGAGGCGGTAGAGCTTCAGCGTGCGCGTCATGTTCATGTTGCGACTCATCGAGCTGAAACCGACCTCAATCAGCTTCTTGGGGTTGAGCGAGCGGTGGTAGTAGCGGCAGGTGCTCACTGGCTTCGGAATGAAGACGCCCGCCGTGTAGAGCGCCTGCCAGACGCCGGTCAGGTTGACACGGCGGGTGATCTCCTTGATCAGCACCGGGGCGAGCCGCTTCGAGCGGAGCTTCTTGTGCACGCAGAGGAAGTTGATCTCCACGGCGGCGATGGTTCTAAAAGGGGTAACACCAGGTTAGGTAAAATTTTGTTTCTTTCATAAAGTACGTACTTGTCGTAGACGCGAATCTTCGAGGGAATGGCGGAGACGAAGCCCAGCAGTTTGCCCGGCTTGGTGGCGCCCGCCTTGGGCGCCACGCGCACGCCCACGTACCAGGCGGTGTTGTAGTGCGGCGGCTTGAGGACCCACTGCAGAAAGTCGCGGCTGTAGTTGAAGCGGAACATGTTGTCGTCGTCCTCGACGTAGTTCTCGAAGAGCAGCGTGTACAGCTCCTGAAGCTGTTGGGGAAGGTAAAAAAAGAAGGTGAGTTTTCTGTTTCTAAATAGAACTCCTCGGGCTTACCTCCTCATTCTTGTCAATGTCCATGGCGACCCAGATGAAGCCCTCGGGCAGGGGCAGCGGCTCCTTGCGCACCTTCGCCACGTCGGTGTTCGGGTCGATCGGCTCGTTCACATCGCGCGGAATTGGCGCGTCGTCGTTCATCTTGGGAACGGGCTGCGTCTCCCAGAACTCGTACTTCTTCTTCTTCGCCTCCTCGACGTTCTTCGGCTGAGCTGAGGAACCGGAGCCGGAGCTGGACGATGGCTGCAGACTTTGCATCAGCCTCATCTGCTCGATGGCCCGCTTGATCTCGCTGATCTTCGCTATGTCAGCGGCGGAGGGCTCGCTAGGTCTCTCAGCGGCCACAGTCGCCGCCGCTGGGACAGTACTGTCCACAGAAGAGGGGCCAACTGGTGGTGGTGGTGGTGGTGAGTTGCCATTGGTTACGGCGGCGGCGGCGGCATCGCCGGCGGCCGCGACGGTACT